TAGGACCTTTACCAGCAGCTCAGCATGCTCAGCTAGAGTTTCCCCCGTGTCAGACTGGTCCACTAAAAACGCCACAAAAAGAACAAAACAGTGATTGATAAGACGGCTGAAACAAGAGAGCGACTTAACATGGCGGCCAGCTGTCTGTCTTTCTGTCACTCTGCTACTCGTGCTCTCCCTCCCTGCTTCCCTTTTTTCGTTCCACCATTGTACGGCAACAAACACTCCATTCTGACAGCGGTTGAACTGTGCCGATACCCTTGAGTGTGCGGGGCAGAATGGGCGGCTTGTCAAAGCAGCGGTTGTTTACTCTCTGCCAGGAATAATAAGAGGGGGTCGTTTTTCTGAACCGATTAATCACAAGCAGCCCTTGCACTTGTTTGACGAGTATTCCACACAGAGAATAGATGTTGATGGGAGGAAGCAATTTGTTGTGGAAAAAAAAAAGCAGCTGATTGTTGTTGATCCATTGCTGCTGCTGTGTTATTAGGGTCGGTATGACACAGCAGAGGCCACAAGCGCTACTGTTACATGCCCACTACATTTATAACAATGAGTTGGTCATATAATCATTGTAAGGATTTTGTGTGGACGATCCGTAATTGAAATGATAATAATGAATTGTTGAATGATGTTGGAATCAAAGTTCTTGTTGAAGCGCAGGATAAACTGAGATTGAATTTATTCTCTCTCCTTTATTTCTCTTTATTCTCTTAGGTGTGCAGAATGGCCAGCGGCTACAGTAATAATAGTGTTACTGTTAGGCTTTGAATTTGCTATTGCTTTATTACTCGAGCAATACACTTCCAGAGGGCTGAAACATTATGAGACTGAGCCGGCATCCAAACTAGAGGGCGAAAGAATTTCCAACTTGGAAATTAATAAACTTTATCAGATCAAATAAGGCATGTAAAATCTACTGGTTGCATTTCTACCTCTCGGTTTTTACTTTAGGACCTGCAATAAAGATCAGCAGAGGGACTGCAGTTCACAGACAATTGAAACCGAATGGGTAGTTGATAAAAAGGAGTAATTTATTTCACAGTGGCCCTCATAAACTCTTGCAGATTACTTATGTGTCTCGGATGCACAGCTCCAGGTGCAGAAAGCGTTATATATGAGTATGTTAATGGCTGCAGCTCACCTTCTGATTTTTATATGTTTAGCCAGATGATGGGCAAAGGATAAACCTGCTCTGTGAAAAAAATATTACACTGATAAGCTCTCTTCCTACATTCTCACTCTGCTGTTTTACAGAGTGATATTGAGACTACACTCTATGCAATGCTGATGCTGAAATGAATCAAAGCATGGGTAAAAAGGACTTTCTGATCTTTCCATCTGACATTTTTATTGAATGCGTCTTGGAGCAACCCAGGGCTCCTTTAAGGCCCTGCCAGAGTCACTTACGGAAATCAGAGTGGGGGTTTAGGGGAGCCTGCAGGGGTTCATTAGGACCAGACTGGTCCAACTTCCTCTGCCAGAGAGGCAAAGGAGAACACAGAAACACGAGAGAGAGAGAGAGAGAGAGAGAGAGAGAGAGAGAGAGAGAGAGATGAATGAGGAAAGTAGGGAGCGGAGAGTGAGGGCTAGCAACGGAAGGGGGTTTGCGAGGAGTGACCAGACTGAAAACGGGAAGAGAGTGGGAAGAGAAACTAACCAGGCGGAGGGAGAGTAGAAAGAGAGAGGGGAAATATTTGAGAGAGAGGAAAAACAGGGAGTGCTGCGATGCCAGTCTACTCTGTGACAGCTTGACACCACAAATCAAACAAAGAAATGAAGACAACTAACGAGACAACTGTCACCAGGATCACTGCCAGTGAGGCTGTTACCTATAGGCTATAACGCTCTAAAGCCATACTTTTTTCATTGTGGCTGTCATATCGAGGAGTGCTCTAAATGAAAACAGACCTCTCTCCTCTTTCTCTTTCGATTTTTTTTTATTTTTTTTAAGTAAGGTACTGTAGGTTAAAGTGGAGCTCTGTCCTCCTCAGCACACAGAGGGATGTATTGTGGACTTCTTTCTATTGAGTGAAAGAGTTGGATTGAGTGCCTGCTCTTTTCTCCTCTTTACGCTGGAAACCATTCATCACCGGCCCCTCCTCCCTCAGATAAATGGTTCCTGGTAGAAAAAAAGCACATGTCAGTGCGAGAATGCACGGCCATACAAACTCACGTCATGGTGTAGACTTTGTTTCCACTTTTTAGTGTTTGTGGATCTGTTCTGTGAACTACTGGAAGAGACACGTTTTTGTACCCTAGTACCGCTCTTATTTGGCCGTCCTCAGCTTCACTCAGCTTTATAATATTCAGAAGTGGAAGATTCATTGTACAGCTTCGTTCAAATGCTTTGAAGGAGTTTGGTTTCAGTTGTCTCACTGAAGGACAGTTTTTGGAGAACCCTGGATGAAAGGCAGAGTTTGTCTGACTCACGTGAGCCTGCCAAGATCAGCTTTCAGTACTCACTTCTCTTTTTACGGCCTACCTGCCCCACAGCTGGCTGCGCAGCCGACACTCCGGCTCTCTCTCTGTTCTGTGGAGACTGGTTGTGATGTAAATAATATCTTACAGCACTGCTCCAAATGCTGCCACACAGAAGTAAGCACCTTTGTGTCAGGATTAGTAATGGCCAGCTGAGAAGTTGGGAAGAAGGAAGAAGGATGGAATTTCTGAGCGCTACGCTTTGCACTCCTCGGTAAAGAAGCTTTTGGGTTTGTTGTTCTTTTTTTAAGCCAAAAATCTCCAAGGCTCAGAGAGTAGCCGGATGCTGCACACCAATCTGGTTTCTCATTGGCCTCTTTCACTACTCTAACTTCCTCTTTGGAGGAGAGAATGGATCTATAATAAATTCTAAGACCTTTGATTGGCCCATTCTTTCTCCATTACTAAAATCACAGTTTGTGATTGGCTGTCATTTCGCTTCGATGAGTTCAGCTGTATCCAAGTGATTTTTTTCTGAAGGAAAGAACAGGATGAAAAATGTATCCGACACAAATACACACTGTCCGTTGATAGAGACGTTCAGATTTTCTTTAAATAATTGTTTCACCTTTGGGCGGCTGTTGCTGATGGTTAGAGTTGGTCATTTTGTACTGGAAGGTGGGGGGCTCAATCCCCAGCTCTTGTAGTCACATGTCAGAAGTGTCCTTGGGTGGGGCTCCGGTAGCCTAGCGGTTAGTGTGCCCGCCCCATGTATGGAGGCATCGCTGCTCCAGGCAGAGCCCGGGTTTAAATCTGACCTGTGGCTCCTTTTCCGCATGTTTTTACAGTCTATGGTCTTTCCCCATTCTCTCTCTCTCTCACCGATTTCTGACTCTATCCCTTGTCCTGTCTCTAAATAAAGGCATAAAAAGCCCAAAAGTAACCTTAAAAAGACATCTATTAGCTGATCATTACACGAGGATACGCCTGAGTCTTTTTTACATACAAATGAATCAACTGTAAGGATATTTAATTCAACTCTATTTTTCAATTTTCTTTTTTAAAGACACTTGCATTGATCGAAGCAAATTAACCTGTAGTGCTTGAAGAAGGTATAAATTGGATGACATCAAATAAGTCTCAGAAATGTTTTTGCTACTATTGCTGCATCAGTGGTGTGTGAAAGTGTGTGTCTGGGCTTTGTTAATACTGATGGAAGCTTTACATCCTCTGTCATCAGTGTGTGAATGGGGTGTAAATGGTTAGGGGTGACCAGCGGTTTAAAACGCGCCAATAGACTAGAAAAGCGCTATACTAGCTGAAGTCCATTACCAAAAGTTTGGTCATCGTATGACAGTGATGAGCCCATTTCCACATGCTAATAAGCTCCATGCCTTTGTAGACTGTGTATATTTTTTATTAACGTTATTCTAGAAATTATTTACACAGTATTTTTAACTATAACGACACAAGTTCAAATCATTAATTACAACAAGATGAAGCAGCAAAAGGTCAGAAAAAATACTTCCTTTATAGATCTTTCCCTCCTGTTAACAGGCCAAAGAGTGACCGCCTTATTATAGTTCCCAGATGAAAAGAAAAAATGGAGTTTGTGCGTTTGAACAATACTAGGAGGAGACCTGACTTATCTCCATAATCATGCTCTATCAGCTCGAGCCAGCCTTTAGGTGGACATCTGTTGCATTGTCATTTGAAGTCACCTCATAGGAAGATGCTTTTCCAATCACAGTTGCCAGTGCATTCATTCACCCCCTTTGCTCTTCTCTTCCTTTGCTGGCCCCTTTTGTTTGCTCAAACAATCTCGTTCTCACTTTCAGAGAGAGACAGAGGGAACACAACAAAGAATAAAAAGAGAAGAATTGATTTGTTGTGTAAGGTGTAATAACTGATATCTGAATACATTGCACTGGTGCTGGAAATTGTTCTGTTAAGAAAGGTAGTCTGCTCTTGAATTTTTCCCTGGGTGATACTGGCTTTTGTGCCTCAAATCGCAGGTGGGTTATTCTATTCTCGCTCAGCCGACTCTCTCTTAGCGCTCCTGATTGTATGCAGGGGTATTGAGCTGAGCGCTTGTAATTCGCTGATGCTCACAAAGAGATTGTTTGTTGCAGTGCTACAGATAGGTGTGGCAGTGTCTGTCATACTTAGGTTATATAGACTCCTGAACTGCTTGTTGTGGTCGGCTGAAAAGGGCAGGGTCACGACTAAAATGTCAGTTTAACCAACATAATCTGATAATACAGACATAGCCTCGTCTACATGCCGAGGCATACACACATCAGTGTCAGAAAGGGTGTATGTTCAGGCAAAGGCTAAAAGTTCCCAAGTGTCCTTGAGAGAGCAGAAAAAAAATCCCTTTCCATCTTTCCTCCACTCTTCTCTCCTTGTGGGAACTGATCTTTTTTTTTTTCTTCTATAGATGCCCTAAATACACTCCTGTAATTGCATAGCATTTCTGTCTGCTGAATTGAGAAGAAAGAGAAATAAATAGATGAAATGAAAAAAAAAAAAAACACCAGAATATTCTTTGAATGTTCCTCCCGTCTCCTCTCTTACAGATCAATCGAGCTCCGAGCTTTGGGACCGATCAGAAGATTGATTACGACGTGAAGAAAGGGGTGCTTCTCAATGCCCTCAAACTCCTCAACATTCGGTACTGTTTTACACCACGGTTATACACACACACACACACACAAACACTCACACCAACACCACACTCACATATGCGTGCAGATAGACAGACACACATGAATTCCATCTTGGGGCCCATTAAGTTTTGTGTGCAGAGGGCATGCAACACCAACATCAAGCTTTATCTTACAGGGCTCTGAATGTTCAAGCCTTTCCATTGATTCTTTCAGTTGTCTTTATTTGGCAACCCTGGAAACTTTGGAATCACTTGGATTCACCACACAATTCAACTTTCATGTGGTTATGGTTTCAAACTGATGACACAGTAACAACAACACAGTTAAAACTTACCGGAAGTTTGGGCTGTTGACATGAAAAATAATATGGCAAATTTGTGATGTTGTTGCTGCCGGGGTGGATAAAAGACAGATAATGGCCGAGGTGCAAAGCTATGCCTCTATTGTGTGCTTTGTGAACCCTTCAATGCTGGGTCTGTGTGTGAGTGTGTGTTATAGAAACAGGATAGGAAAAAAATAACTGGACTGTCTGATTTCCAGAGTCTTCATTGTTTACTCTGTACATTTACATAAGCTTACTGTGTTGCCTTTTTTTTTTTACACGCTTTGTGGGTGTATTTGTTTGCCTGTTTTACATTACGCACGCAAACATTCTTGTTGTGTAATGTATTTTTTTTTATGTGAAAGGATTGTGTGTGTGTGTTTTTGTGTGCCTGTTTGCTGGCATGCTTTTCTGTCCCCTGGCTACAATGAGTCTGTCCACTGATTGATCATCTTACACCAGACCTCTGGATCTCTGCTCTCTTTTTTTTTCTCTTTCTCTCTCTGTGCTCGTCTTCCTCTTAAGGCTCTAAATATAGTCCCCACTAGTCTCACACACACACACACACACACACACACACACACACACACACACACACACACACACACACACACGCAATGGATCAATTACATGCAGCGCCATATATCTAGTTTGGTCAAGTGTGGAGCAAGGTGCAGCCATCCTACATAAAAACTCACTCCCTCTCCCCATCCCCCAGCTTCAGACAGCACAAACAAATCTCTTATCAAAATGATTTGTTTCATGGCTGATGTTTGCTGCATTCCCACAGATTAAAAGGGGAGATTTGATTATTTCACGACAAATAAATTGTAGGAGGCCTTGAAAGGCGGCGGGGAGCTCTTTCCACTGGACAAACTGCTTATGTTCACGCTGGAGTGAATGAGGGCTTTGTTCTACCCCGCTCACTTTTTGCCTTATATAGAAGTGGCTTTGCTTCCCTAAAGGGAGGGGTCAGTGGTGTGTAGAGGTAGGGTCGGCTCTCAACTCTGCTCACAACACCAACTGTATCAACGTGGGATCAATTCAGACCCGGCCGGGCATGGACATTGATAAACCTCAGCCCCCCAACCGCACTCAATATCCAATTTAAAGGGCCACCGATTGACTAAAATGAATTGCCCTTTCTCTGGACTGCAATGGCCCACTTGTTCAGAATTAGCTGTCTGGTCCTGTTCATCCTAGGGTTGTTGGTTTGTTATGTCTCTGCAGTGTTCAATCTCTTTGTTTCTACAACCACAACATTTATTCAATTAGTGATAGGCATTCATGGAAACCTTTCTCTGTATGGTTTTCAAATGGAGAAACATGTAGTAATGAAATACATATGAAATGAAAATAATATTTTTGTATACTTTAAATCAGCTTACTCTGATTGAATATACCAAAACTAAAACAAAACATTCGGGTCTGCCTGTTTGTAAGTACTTCAGAACTGTTGACTTAAAGCATCACAGAGTATTAAAGAGTGTGCAGCCGTGGGTAAGAAGTTGATCAGTAGAGCTGTTCTTGCAAACAGGGCTTCCAGCTGCAAAGCAATCACAAGCTGCCTGTTAGGCATAGTTGCATGTTTTGAAACATCCACATCCTGAACGGGCGCTACGATAGCTATTCAAAAACAGGTAAAAAAAAAAAAGGTTAGAGCTTGATTGGAAAATACTGAATAGGCACTCTTTCCTTATGTTTAAATGTCCGTTCTTTTAACTGTGCTCTTGTTTTGTGTTGATGAAGAGCCAGTGATAAGAAACGTAACCTGGCGCAGCAAAAGGCAGAGGCTCAAAGGCGTCTCTACGGACACGGCTCCATGAAGAAACTCTCGGCTGCCTCCTCGGACTGGGAGAAACAGCGTCACACACTAGAACGAAGGAGAGAAGAGCTGGTAATGATAAACACATTTTTTCAAGATTCCCAATGACTACATTTCTGTACAATGTAGTGTCTAAACTTCATAGAGTTTCTTATATCCCCACCTGGGATATACCCAGTAAAACCACTATTCTCTCTGTTGGTAAGTGAACAGCTTTGAAGCATCTGTTGAAGCATCTGCTGAGCAGCTGTAAAGGGTGGTGCACCTCACCTATGGTCAAGGGAGTTAATAGAGAACCTCATTCGTGAAACAATGGCTGTCATGTCATAAGCTACAACAATAAGCCATGCGATACCTTTTGAGCCTTTTATGCTACAACAAAATGAGCTCAAAAAGAGGCTTGGTATCAGTTATTCTGGGATAGGTGCTCATTCGAGATGTTTTGGAGATATCGTCTGGGACATTAACTAAACACATGAACCTTTTGGCCAAATTAAAAAAAAAGATAAAACATGGAACCCCAGCATGTTTGTGTTACATTCAGCTTTCCTTACTTCTTACTCTACATCCAAAAAGTCTTCTGAGACATGTATGCCATTAAATCATTTTCTCTTTGATATGAAGGAGTCGAGGGAGTTGTTCCTTATCTATATGAGGAAAAGTGGCTGCTACTGGTACTTTAACACCCTTCCACCCTCTTTGATTAGCCCTTTGATCAGCCACGGCAGTAATCAGTGGGAATAAGGAAAGATTGCGCAGAGGCACCATTTTCAAAAGGGCACTATCTCATCTTTAAGTGCTGTTATGGTTGAAGTGCGAGACCAGGTTCAGACCTATTGAAGGCACGTATCACTTAGTGCTCAATAATACCGCGGTACAAGTAGCGGAGCTAACCCCTCCTCTCTGCTTTATGCCAAATCGTCCAACTGAGCTCCACAATTATAACCTCCTAACATATTAATAAGAGAAGATGGAAGGCCTCTAAATTACAGTCATTGTTGGTTGTGACTGCTTTTCCCCCTCTTGCCCATTCATTTTTCAGACTTTATTCTTTCTGTATTATATAGAAGATACTGTGGGGATGACAGTGCTTTTCACCTGAGAGATATATTCCTTTTTCTTCTATTTCTAGAAAGAGCGACTGGCACAGGTCCGCAAGCAGATCACCAGGGAGGAGCATGAAAAGCAACATTTGGGGAACTACAGGTAAGAAAGAGGCACAAGGGTCTTACACTCTTACATGTACAGGGTCATCATCAGCTTAACGTCCCCATTCAGGGGAATTTATAATGCTGCAAAAACAGAACACCGAATGTTTTTGTGAGTGTAAGACTGAGGGATAAAGACTGATAGGATATGCAACATAGAAAGCAAGAAAGGGAATTGGAGGTGGTATGTCATGTCAACGTTCGAATCATTGAACTCTTCTCTATGCTCAATGATACCTGTTCAGAATTTCAGAAATTCGAATTAGCAGGTACACTTTCAGATTCACCTTCTCTTCTTTCTTTCTCTACCCCTGTCTCTTTTCCCAGAATGTACACACATACACACATTTCCAGTTTTAGATTTTCTTGCCATCGCTCACTTTCACGCACCCACAGACAGACTCACACACCTCCACAATTGGCCCTCCCTTCTTGCCGTCTCTCTCTGAGTATAAGCGACTTCTTGACTCATCACTCAACTGAATGGCTAGTCAGAATGCTGATCCTGGTTCACATGAAGTGCTGTCACCTCCTCCTCCTTCTTTTTTTTTCTCGACATGCAGCCAGACAGTCAATCAGTCAGGCTGAGGTCTGTCTGGAGCACCCCTAATAAAGACCTCTTAGCATTCAGATGGTGTCCCGGCGCAGCACTGGAGTCTGATTAACACAACGCTTCTCATTAGATGAGTTTGGGTAATGAACTTACTTACATTCAGCTATTAGACCAAACTTGAATCAGATAAAGAAAGCAGAGACCCTGTGGCATCAGAGGGAAACGACGTTAGTTCATGCCATTGTTGATGCTCATTTAAAATCTTGTAAGCAGCTGGAAATCAGGGGGCTTGAGAGACACTGATGACCATAACAAGGATAGTTCTGAAAACATGTGAATGGAATATGAATTATAGTTTTCTTGTGCCTAATTGGGAAACTGGGGGAGATTCTATTTGAAAAATATTGAAGATGATCGTCAAATAGAACCCTCCATATTTTCACAGATGGAGTATCCCAAAAAGAGGGAGCAGTTAACACCCACACTATTAAAGTGTTGACCTTACTCTTAACAGTCAGGGGGATTGATTTTGCTCTTTGAGGACTGACATGTTCTGGCTCTTGTCATATATTATCATTTCAGTTCATTTCTATTCTTATGAAGAATCTACTCCCATGTTTCTCCTAAATGTCTCCCAAGCTAAATCTGCTCAACGTACCTTTAAGTTGGGCCATTTTGCCTTCATTAGACAGGACAGCTGAAGAGAGACAGGAAATGTTGGGAGGAGAGAGTAGGGGGATGACATGCAGCAAAGGGCCGAGGTCAGATCCAAACCCACGGCCACTGCGATGAGGACTGCAGCCTTCATACATGGGGTGCGGTGACATAACCGCCAGGCCACCTTGCACCCCAATATGTACTTAGAAGTTGAAAAGTGTGAAAATCTAGCACAGGATGATTCAAAGGGAGGGAAATAAAGCAATTTGTCCATGTCAGGTCTCTCTTTCAGTAGTTGCTTGATTTGAACTGCAGCAACAGAAAAAGAAGTGTATGGATATAGAATTGGGTCAACTTGTTAACAATCTAGATCAGGGGAATAGCACAACATCTCTGTATGAAATTGTTAAGATGGGCTGCACTACAAATTTCAATTGTGGAACTGTGCAATGTTAAACTTTGCTTGACACTGTATTGGCTCTGAAATCTGTGATTCAGATGCAGATATGAGTGAATATCTTAGTCATTTATAAACTGCAGAACATTTCCAACTGCTGCATAAACATTGCAACCAACTTTGCGTATTTAAAAAAGAAAAAGTCTATATTTTGACTGCCTTAAACTGAACTGAACTTGGGAAATGTCTGATTCTAAATGTTTCTGTGCAGATGCCAAACTACTTCCCTGCTTTTCCTCTTTAGACTGGCCAGTGCTTATTTGGTTTACAACACTGCCATTGTTTTGATTTGATGGCGAGTGTGATGAATTGAAGGGAGTCTGGAGATGTATTTTAAGGATAACCTGGCAGAGGTTTATACATTTTCCTAATCCCCTCAGGTCCAAGATAAACACTTAGCACTGTTAAAACTAAGCAGACGTATGCAGGATGTGTGAATAGGCACATAAACCAAGACTGCAACAAATGCTTAAGTGCACATCTTAACCAAATGTACGTGTGGGAAGTTTTGATGCATTATGCCATATGAAAAGTTGACTGAAGTCTCAACCGCTTGTTACTTCAAGGTCTCTATTAATACTTCTTTCTTACTGTCTTTTCTCTCGGTTCTCTCCTTCTTCATTATTCCCCCTTCATCCTGCCACTCACCTTTTCTTTTGTCTCTCCGCTCTCACACCTCTAACTGAAATACTTATAAATTCTCTCCATTTTTGTGTTTCCTGTCCTTCCCACTCTCTCTTCTGTCCATCACCGCTCTCACCTGCTGTGCATCGACCTCTCTGTGGCTCATTTCATCAACTCCTCCCTTTTCTTTTCATCTCCATTGTTGTACAACTTTTCCATTTCTTTCTTGTTAACTCTCTTCATATTTCCAACTCTTATGCACTCTTTCCTTGTCCTTTCCTATTCTGTTTTATCCATCACTGTTCCCGCCATCCAAATACTGTGGTCGATCCTTCACTCACCTCATATTCCCCTCTTCATTCTTTTTCTTAATTACCCCATCCCCTTCTTTCTTTCTTTCTGTTTTCCATTCTTTCTACTCCATGATATCTTCTCTTTCCCTTCTCACCCCCTTTCACCCTGCATCGATGACCCACCTCCTTTGCCTTTCCATTCTCCCTCTCCCTCCTCTCCTCCCTCACTCTCCTCGCCTTTCTCTCTGTGTCTCTGCTGCGTACAGACGTATTTACCCCCCAGACGACAAGCTGCTGTTGGAGAAGTATGAAAGCCTGCTCTCGGCCGCCTTTCAGACCTTCCTCGCCGGGCGAGCTGCCTCACTTCAAAAGGAAATGAATAATCCTCTGAAACGAATGAAGGCACGTACATCAGTGGCAGACTGTCACGCACGCGCACACACACACACACACACACACACATCATAGAAAACCTGCAGAGACCAACACATAAACACATGCACACAATATTCAGACACTTGTGGACAAACACATGCTGAAGAAAAGAAACTCGCATTTCTATTACGATTCTGCCCACAGAGACAAAAAAAGGATGCCCAAATAATGCAGAAAGTGTGCCGCAGTCCTTCATTTTTGTCAGAACGTCTGACAGAATGTCCTTCTTCTCTTGGCTTTGCCTAGCTTTCCCACTGTCATTCACTTTGTCTCTCCACAAATATTTATTGTGCCGTGTACATAAGCTTTTAAAAGCAAATCAAATCCCACACAGCATTGTTATTTTTGTTTCTCAACGGTTAGAAACTCTTCTGTTTCCCTCGTCTGCTTTCTGTCTTATTTCTTTATTCCGACAGTCAAGTTCTGAAGAGGCTCCAAAGTTGATTATATGTAGTTGCTCTGTGCAAATTTTACATTTAATTATTCTTTGATATATCGCAAGAACTTCGAGGTACATGTTTCATATACTGATTGTGAATGCAAGAACACATTCAAAAACAGACTGGTGTAGTTTTTCACTTGAGTAGAAGTCGTTGTATTCACATAACTACTGTAACTTCTCTGGTACCAGGTAGAATGTGGCTTCATCAAAACTTGAAAGATAATAGCATGGGGACGCCTCACAAAGGAGAGAAGCTGATTTTCATACCAAACCACTTTGTATGAAAAAGAAAAAGAGAGCTGGAATAGGGAAGAATGTGGAGTGTTTAAATGGTGACAAGAGAAAGACGAGAAAAATAGTCCTAAATAAAGTGTGGAGATGGAAGGTTGCTGATTGAGACAGTTGTTCTGTCACTTTCGTTTTAAAATACTTCTTGAAGTATTGTGACAAACAACTATAATGAAGGCGCTGTATTAATCGGAATGCCTTGAGTGGAGTACACAAAAATAAGCAAAGGATAAATGCAATTTTCAGTTTTCAAGTTTGGTTATGTATTCAGAAAGAACAAATCAATGATACAGAAAGAAAAAGGCATTGTGGGAAATAAAAAAAAAACAAAAACATGAAGAGATCTGGCATAGCTGAGAAGGAAATATGCAGATTGAATAATAAAATGTAACTGCTTTTGGCAATTGAATAGTAATGGTGAATACTGAGTATGGATATCTCCGACAGAAGTATTGACGTTTTAAATTCATATCAAAGCACAGGGAGGAGATTTCATGAGAAACTTTTGCTGCTTTTGTAGAAACAAACCAACCCCGACAGCCTCTTGTCCTTCACCGGTTGTTTTTCAAGGCAGTTATTGTGCGTCCTTTAAAGCGAGTGTCTTGCGAGAGTTTTTATAGAAATGTCAATCAAAGTTCAGGCATTGGAAGCAGCAGGCTGAGGTAAGTTTAATTTACCCAGAGTGACTCATTTATAGAAGAAAAGAGGGATAACAGGACAAAAGGACGATGCAGACTTTGCTCTCTTATAACATGATCATGAGTGACAACCTCACTGGCATTATTTAAGGACTGAGTGCAAGATACAAATCTTGTCAATTTATGGAAAAAATAACTTTTTTGAATTGAAGGTTACACAGCAGACTTCCAGTAAAGTATACCTTTTTCACATTACGTGTATTCAGAAGCCGATTTCCTGTCAAAAGAATCAAAAGTGACTTGATTTACATTTCTTGACAGACTGTCTGGCTTTGTTGCGTTCCTCAGCTCTTCTTCTGTCTACACACACTGATGATGGATTCATAGTTAAGCTCATTGATATGCTCCAAGATACACTTTTAAAAAGTTTGACTTGATGGTACTATAGCTGTTGTTGCCTTTTAAATGGTTTTAAGTCCTCATGGATCCAAACTTTAAGAGAATCAAACTACCGTGTTGTGATCTACTTCCAACTAACTGAAACCGCAAAGAACTAATCTCAAGATAGAAGGGCGGGACATAACATTGGGATGAATTTGATTGGATCCTTACCTTGGACAAAGATTGTAATTAGTTGGAAAATTAGTGAGGATGTGCAGGATGTGTCATTAGACATTTGAAACATTTTACAGGATGAAAAACTACAGTAATTTTGACGTAAATTACTCAGATAATGCTTTATTGGAAACATTTTTGGCAGATAATGGCAGATGAATGAACAGTTAACACAGGAACGCTGGATTTAAACTGGGAAAAACTTTTTTTTTTTTTCATGCAGACTTTAAGTTACCAGTATCAGTCACAGTAGCTATTTAGCCGTTATTGTTTTGCATAGATTCTGCTCATAAAGCACAGCTTCATTCAGACTGAAATAATGTCAGAGGTAATTCTCTAGCAGTGGACTTTGGCATGGTAATGTTTTTCCTAAGTGAAAGATTAAACTGCACAAGTAGCTTCTATCTAAATAAAGGCTATTAGGAGTCCAGTGGATTTCAGTGTACCTATTGGCAGAGATGGAAATCTAACAGAGTTTCTTTTAAAAACTCAATGTAGGAATTTCAAAGATCTCAGTTTCGTTCTTTTTGGCGACTACGGGGATAAGCAAGAAGTTCATAATGCCAAAAAAGACTCCAAATTTAAGGGCTTTAAATAGTGCATCTCAGGCTTGGCTGTCATGAACTCATTATGTGAACAAATTTTTAAAACTTAGTGGATTTGTTTTACAAAAAATAATCATGTGTTATTTTTGGTTTCAACAGCACATTTCATTTTACTTAGACATATCTGAGCTTTAGCTAAACAGTTAAACATTTAAGCAATTAACTTATAGTCGAGGTGCTTTATCCTATCTATCAATCAATCTTTATTTGTTTAGCGCCAAGTCATAACAAATGTTATCTCAAGATGCTTAACAAAAAGCAGGTAGAAGACCTTACTCATTGTTATATAACAAAGACCCAACGTTAATCCATCATAACCCTGGTGGGATCCTTAATTCATCACCTCAACTAGTCCAACTTTCTTTTTGGAATGTATTTCCAGGTGCTAAATTGCAGAGATTGTTTGTCAGCGTACCACAAACATATCTCTCATTGTCGGACACTGCTTCCACAAGATTACATGTTTCCCTTTTAGCTTCTCAGGGACATCTTGAATTTAAAAAGTGTCATGAATTGTCACACTATCATAATCATAGTGCTAATGCACTGCAGTCATTTCTCCAGCCTCACTGCTGTGCAGCAGACAAGTGGAGGGTTACACTGGTTTCTCAGTGGTTTGCATCACCCTTCTTTCCATTTCTATTACTGTTAGTTTGAAAGGTGTCCATCAAATTGTTTGTTCAATTGTTAGCTCTCGATCCTGCTCGCTCAGCTCATGTCCTCTTGTTTTGTCATTTTTCTTACATCAAATCTTTAAGATACCAGACAAAAAGTGTTGCTGAGCAGGTACATGTTCAGCTTTCTGAAGATCTCTGTCAATATAATGAAATAGCACAAGTAGTCGTGTATCAGGTAATTTATCAAGTAGTGCGTTATACTGTGTGCTGACAAATCTTAATACACTTACAGCAATAGGCATTAAAAAAAGGGAAATATGAAAATGTATGTTGTTCATACAAAGTTAAACAGAATTAACAAAGCATTATAGATTACAAGACCAGGATCAGCCAGTATTATCCACTTCAGAGCTTAAACATGTGAATAGTGGTTAAACGCATCAAGCTTGATCCGTTACCATTTCGGATCAACCCTCACAGTTCGGATGAAAACTTATAAACATGATGTAGCCTATAATAAATACTACCACTAAATCCCTGTGCAGTCTCCGTGAAAAGACAGCAGCATTTAAGTGGTGCCATGGAGACCAGCTGAACAAGGAAGCGATACAGTCTTTTAAATTATATTTTTATAGATTTTTCGTGGACTTTAGCAAAGAAACTGGTCAAAAAGCGTTGATGTTTCCTTGTGAAAGGTTAATTTGTTTCAAAACGCTTCGTCTTTTCTTCACTCTCAACCCGTCTGCACTTGCCATGTAGGTATCATCTGGTGGCTTTGTGCGACAACAATCAGTAGCTTACCCAGTAAACTTAAACTTACCCAATCTCTCTTACTCCGTCCAAAAACAGAAGGTATACCTCCTAAACACACGTGCACCATTTGTTTTTTGTATGACTCACACAGATATCTGCATAGATTTCTATTTAGTGTTTGTAAGGTGGATGTCCCTGATAAAAATACTACAGTTTTCAGGTTCATTTAACTGCTTCTACATATTATTATTGGAATTGTAGCAATGTATATAGTCTATATTGAAAAAAATAGAGCATGATACATTATTAAGATTCATGGAGAAGTATTTTGATACATAGAGATGATGTTAAAATGCACAGTTTCAGTCATGTCTAGCTGAAGAGTGGAAAAGTTATAAATATCTTTTGATTGTGTCTTGTTGATCGATCGGTGATAAATATCCATGATCTGATCCGAACTGTAATATCAGTGATCTGTTGCACCACTTCCTGTGATACGTTCAAACCTGCAGTCTTAGTTTAACCATTCTCATCCGCAGGCACAAAAAAATATATTCAGCAGCAGATAAGTAGAGCAAATAGAAGCTGAGCACCGTTTATAGGCCACTATTGTAACAATGATATTTGTGGCTGGATGAAAAAAAACGCACCACTAACCACTGATTGAATCAGAATTGCATTTACTCAAAACTGCTATTTTTTGTTTTAAAAATCCACAACATACTGGAATAAAGTATAAGCCTAATTATTGAATTTTCACAATTTTTGGCCTTCCCATGATCAAAGAAACGTGATTGACAGTGATTATTGAGGTTTATTAAATATTGAATTGATTTTATTGACAGTACAGCCAGTAAAGACTAAGTAAGGGCTTCCATCATTTGAAGTGCACGAGCAGTGTCATAAACACTTTTGCTCTTAAGCAGATGAATAGCTTTAAGTTGTGTCATGTGTCAAGCTCTGTATTCTTCCATGCTGTGAAACATGTCAAAATATCCATGTAGTCTGCTTTGGGGTGGTAGTAGGCCTCCAGTGGTTTTAAAACCCACTGTGGGGTGGGTGGGAAACTTTCACCTTGTTAAAGAATATTTAGTTCACAGACATACAGTGAAGCTAAAATGCCCAAATAAATTATTTGATTGATTCTTTTTAATTGTTCACACCTCAGGAACACGGATCAGTCAGTGTAGTGCATAATATGCTCCAGCTTCCTATCCCACACGTAATGGCTGGAGACTATATCTATTTTGTTGCTGTTGGTGCTTTTATTTTTCATAAACCCACTAAAGATCTATTGAGACAAAGTAGGAGCTGTGATTTCAAGAATACTAGGACAGACAGGTTGCAAATACATTTCAACACATTGTCATAAATTTATACTAAAATAGGGGCGCTGGTGGGGCAGTGGCTAGTGCACTCGCTCCATGGTTGTAAGCCGCTGTTTACGCACGCACGCACGCACGCACGCATGCACGCACACACGCACCAACACAGAGCCAGGGGATACATTGCCCATTTAAAGGAACCCAGAAGGCAGTTTGATAACTAATTTAAGTGAAAAACAATCACTTTTCATCTTTTTTTTTTTTTTGTAAGAAATTGAAGCTTTTTAAGTCCCAGGAAGAAGAAACATTAATCAGCTCTGCCTGCATTTTAGCTATGGCCAAATGGCTAAGGCTCCAGCATATTGGCAAAGGCCATGAAGCTGCCTTTCCCAAATCCAGCCTCTGTAATAGCTGCCAAATAGCAATGCCCGTTCAGCCAGGGCCTTTTCCAAGCCCCAGATAAGGCACATATTCCTGTGAGGTCCAACTTTTTCTCATTTTCTCACACTTCAGTTTGACTTCAACCTCATTGGAGCCATAAAACATCAGAGTTTTAGTCATTCCTTATCAGTGTATCATCAAACTACCCTGTTTGTCTTTGTTGATCCGTTTTACTGTATACTCCTTGTGTACAAAAATAATCCTCTTTGCCATTTTCTCATCTTCTATCTGTCTTTTAATTATATTCTGATTTCCATTTGTGTAGGAGGAGGACATCTTGGATCTGCTGGAGCAATGTGAACTAGACGACGAGAAGCTGATGGGAAAGTCCTCAAGGCAACGAGGCCCTAAGGTGGGTGAGAGCGAGGGAGCAAGACACTGAAACCCAGAGAGAGGAGAAAGAATGAGGGGCCATGTGCCTCAAGGGACCAAAGAAAAAGTGCAAAGAAGAGTGTCAGATAGGGAAAGAAAGAGGGAGTGAGGGGGGGAGGCAGGGAGTAAGATGCCTGGAGCTAACGCCCACAGAAAGCATATAGGATGTGATTCAGAAAAATAAAGAGGGGGGTAGTGGATAAGGCGAGAAAGAAAAGAATCAAAAAGAGGCCAAAAGCGAAGATCCAACTCCCCTAGGGGACAGCTGTCAGGCTGTCTCTCCTGCTCTCTTCTTGCCATCTCTCGTTCTGTCTATCTCCCCCTTTTCTCTCTGTTCCTCTGTCACATACACCTATACGCCCCCTCCATTTCCCACGACAGCACATTACTCCCTCCATCACCTAGCTTCGCTCCCCTCCCTTCACCTCTCCATCCCTTTCCTCCGCCTGAACATCTACATCCCTCCCTCCCTCCCTCACTCACTCACTCACTTGGGGGCTAAATTGGCTGGAACACTCAAAGAGTATGTTAGGGACTCGACAGGGCAGTTCAGCGCTGCATTAGAGAGGCCTTAACCGGAATGAGGACTTGTTCAGACACAATCACTGTTGTCCAAATTAATTTGGACCCTGTCAGTTTCGATGTTGCTGGCTGTGCAGAGAGAGACATTGAGGAGAGCGAGGGGGGAAAGAAAGAGCTGTGACGGATATATTCACTCCTCCGGGTGCAGCGCTCACAAGCCATCTGGTGAAAGGGAACCAAGAAAACAGGAAGGCTAGGAAAGGAGTGAGGGGATTAGAGATGGGGTTTCGAGGGAAGGAAGGGCCAATGATGTATGTCACTGCTAAGGAATTGTTAAGATGGAGCATGGAGAGCACAAAGTGAAATGTTGAAATATGGAAATGATAGCAATAGTTTTTCTTTCTTCTTTCCTATAATTTGTTATGGTTACCTCCATCTTTTGCTCATACCTTACTAAATATGTTTTTTTTTTTAACTTAATCACATTTGATCCTCTTACTGTAAGCCCCTTTCACACATTACTTAGTTTCCAGAAAAATTCAAGACTTCAGGGCCCGACAATTTCTAGATTTGCCCGTCAAATGTTTCCAACACAGCCATAGCTCACGAGTTGGGCTCACACTCTCACAACTTGAAATGCTCTGTTTGGTTTAAGCAGGGAACACACCACAAGCCGATTTTGTGACTTTCAAGACATTGAAAGAATTGAGGAGGAGTGGTTTAAGAATGTTTAAGCTAACCAAATGCAATAATAGAAAACTATATGCAGGCAACTGAGGGGAGCAGTAAGGAATTTAGAGCAGAGAAACTACGCTCAGTGTTAACAATGTCAATGAGAGCACGCACTTCCACACTATCACCTTTTTCATTCGCACAACAGCTCACACCAACTTCATGTAGACTTTTTACTAAGAGCATGGTAGAAAAAAATCTGCATACAGCTGGGGTAAACATGATAAAGCCAGGAAATTGTCAGAAGCCAGTGTATGTGTGAAAGGGGAATTTAGTGTTTGTCCTTTGTCCTTTTTTCCCTGTTCTTCTATTTGTCTTTTCTCTTCACTCTTTATCCGCTCTCTTCCTGTCTCCTGTTTCCTCTACACTTGTATGTTTGGAGTCCTTTTCTCCCTTTCTGTTCATTTCCCTTCTCCCCTCTATTCAAAGCCTTTTTTTAAGTTTCTCTCTGCAACCATAGTAATATTCACCTTGTCCTACTCTTTATTTCTCTCCTCATCAGTCTACTGCTTCCATCTTCCCTTTAATTTTCCTCTCGCGTTTAATCTCTCTCTCTGTCTTGATCCTCCTCTATTACTCACCCGCACAGCTACCCAGCAGTGACTGTGTAAGCCCTGTGATCACTTCCTGTCCATTAATTCAGGCATCCTGACAGCACTGCCCTGAGCTAACAGTTGAATAACAGATGAATAAATACTTTATTGATGCGATCAGTGTGTTCCCGTCCTGAAGAAGAAGTTGACATTCAATTTAATGAACCCTTAGATATAAAAAAAGCTTTTTGGTTTTACGGCGGAAGCAGATCATCATTTCATGAGTAAGGAAGTCAGCCACCTGTTCTAAGAAAGCAGAGTTTAAAAGTTTTGATTCCCATCCTACAATCTTTTTTATGAAAAAATTATATTTGTTAGAGCATACAAAGCTTTTAACTTCATTCATTTTAGAAGGAATACAACATCAGTGTTCTTGAAGTATTAATACAGATGCTCAGATGGGTAAAACATTTATTTCTGAACACACTTCATTTTGAAATTGAACCATCCATATTTGTTCAATGTATGAAGATATTCAGTTTTCCTCTTCATTCATCCAATCACATTGCCCCCTCTGAGTATTCTATCCCAATAAAGCTATGGGGAAGATTTATGTTCACACATTACCGAGCAAAAGGGACAATACCAGTAAAGTCATAATTTACTCTTCTTCACTGTCAAACATGTAGATGCTGTATCGTAAGGTGTTTTAATGATATTATGAATAGCAACAGACTTTGAAATGAATGAGTGATTATTTGTAGCCATGTACTAGATTAAAATGCTGTTTTTGCATTCAGGGACATTTTTCTTGAACTCAATTAGCAGGGCTGGCTCTTCACGTTCTCTTCACTTACTCTTAAAAGACAAGGAGACTGATCATAGAGGAAGCACACAAAAAGGGGACGGGGAAAGTGGTAGAACTTAGGGCTGAAATGAGATAGGTCCATAGTTACAGGCTTGCTTATATAAAGACACAAACGTGAAATTGTGTATAAAATAAGATGACTTTACTGTCTATCACACGGTAACCTAAAATGTCCTTAGACAAGGCTTAGAAATGTAAATAAAGCACATAAAAAAAAAAAATGTCAACACAACAACACACATGTAGGTAGAATAATAAGCCTGAAGGTAAACATACACACACCTGGGCGGGTGGGCTGGCTGTGTCACCTCCAGGTCTCCCAGTGACAGATGGTACTGTAATAGACTGCGGATAAGGAGAGGCTGAGGGAGGGTGACAACATCTCAACATCTTTATATACAAGTGTTCGTGTGTGTTTAGTGTTGTGTTCGTGTCCTTGTGAGAGACTGTTTGAGTTTCAAACCTTTGGAGAGAAGTTATCTTTCTAGGAAATTAGGTTATTTCTACAGGTGTATGGTTAGGAAGCATATGTGTGTGTGTGTGTGTGTGTGTGTGTTCTATAGATCTATGTACATTCTCATAATTACAATATGTGCTTGTGTGTTTGTCCTACCCGCCTGTTTCCTCGGCAGCCCTTGACCGCCATGCCAGAATGCAGTCAGACACCCAGGCGTCAAAGACCAGACTACCTGGCTGACTTCACAAGTGGCAGCAGCGCTGATAACTCCTGCTCCTCCTCAGACGAAGAAGAGGAAGAGGGGAGGAAAGCAGGAGGAGGAAGAGGTGGAGAGAAGAGGGAGAAGAAAGTTTCCTATGACCTTGGGGACAACAAGGAGAAGAACTTGGCTGAGCGCTCAGGTAAAGAGGCAGGATGTCTGAGAATCTGTTTATTAGGATGCAAAAGCTTGGGGGGGACTCCGGTTATTAGAGACCTTGTTTTCCTGCAAGCTTTGGAGATTTGATTTATTTCTTTTGCTTTTTTGCCTTCTTACTTTCTCATTTTGCTTCTTCTCTTTCTGTCATGTTTGTAGGTTGCTTTTTTCCTGATTACAGCAGTTAGTGTGATTTTTTTACATGTTTTTCAGATGTATTAAATCACAGTCAGAAACCTGCAAAAACACATTAAAAACACAGTAACAAAGTGCAGACAGAAAAGAAAGCGAGGAGGAATAAATGATACAATAGGCTATTTGGAATTGAAATTAGATCTGTGAAGCTACAAGCACATGATGAACTCTCCAACCAGGTACACTTTCTAAATAAATTCCTAACAGTTTGAAATATTTATAGTTATAGGACAAATATGTACATGCACTCTATTTTTGTTAAAATTCAAATATGGAGAGATTTGCTTTGATCGGTACCTGCAGTGCACGCACATACACACCCTCCAGCAGCACGGGGTAGGCTGTGACGGTGTGAGTCAGTAGGGGTTCATCACAAACGTTCATCAACCTGTGAATTTTTGTGTGTCTAATTGATCTGATAAAATTGTAGTAGATACTTGGATTTTAATTAAAGTGTAATGGCTGACCATAGTCCGTGACACCTTGCTTGGTGCCTCAGTAAAGAAGTGTCTTAGCTTCACACATACACACATACTGTACCTGCACACTGAATAATGTTGAACATCTGAAAAGCACTTTAGGAAAGATAAGTGTCCTGAAGAGTGCAGTTCCAGTGAATTAAAGGTGGAGGACGAGAAGACGGAATGTGATTGAAAGAGAAAGTGAGAGAAAAAAAGACTCCTTTTGTTGTTTACCTTGAAAACACCTTGAATTTAATGTGGAAATATTCCCTGTTTTATAGAGAGAGTGATAAGTCTCAAACATTGACACAATATTTCATAAGTCACATACATCAACTCACTTTCAGCTCTCTGAAGTGAGTAAGAGGGCACCTTTCACAGCCGTATATGTGCCGTCCTTGAAAAGAAAAAAGGTTCTTACATTGTGGGCTGCGATTTTACTGCTCAATAGAGAGATGACAGTTGTATGAGCTCATTCTGTTTGTCACAAAGCGAGGGACTAAAAAGCCCAATTTTTAACAGGGTGTGTGTGTGTGTGTGTGTGTGTGTGTGTGTCAGTGTGTGTGTGTGTGTGTGTGTGTGTGTGTGTGTTTGTGTTTGTGAGTGTGTGTGTGTGTGTGTGTGTGTGTGTGTGTGTCTGTGTGTCTGTGTGTCTGTGTGTCTGTGAGTGTGTGTGTGTGTGTGTGTGTGTGTGTGTGTGTGTGTGCAAAGAGAGACGGCAACACTGCCAAGCATCACTCCATAACACAACCACCAAGGAACGGCTACAACTAGGCCCCATAATGCTTTCATTTGGCACTGGCCAAACCTCAGAAAGCCACACGAACACACACACACACACACACACACACACACACACACAGTAGACCAAATAATCACTTGCATGCACACTTGATGTCAGACTTACATACACTGCACAAATAGAAAAAAACACACTAATACACTGGCTGGCTGGCAGACAAGCTGGTGGAGTTGGAGAAGGGTGATGAGGAGTGTCAGTGTGGTTTTTCTGCTTGATTTTTTTGTGTCCTCGTGTGTATATGAGTGTGTGTGAGTGTGTGTGTCTAAGAGAGAGAACACTTCTCGTTAATCCATCCCAATACCAGACAGGACTACTGTTTAGTTTCTGGTTTCTATGACACATGCTGCAGTCCCCAACAACATGCACACTGGGCAGCTGGGCCAGTGTGCCGGAATGCAGCAGTGGGAGTTTTTATGCCACACTTCATCTCCAAAGCCACCCGGCAACAGATAGAAAGCAGAGACGAGAGCTTAACAGTGACTTGAGCCCTGAGACAGGATCAGGGAAGAAAAGATTTTGAAGTGTGACAGTAAATTATCTCTTCCCCCCCCAACCCAACCCCCGTCTCCCTCTCTTCTGTTTCTCTACAGGCCGCATGCACTGGAAACCTCCAATCAAGTCTCTCAAAAACAACCCTGCCCCCTCAGCTTCCCCTACACTGTCTGGTCCAATCAGGCGCTCCATCTCCTGCCCTCGCTCCATAGCCTCCCTATCGTCGCCCAGTGAGCTGCGGGCTTTGTCCTCAAGACCTTCTCCTACAGTCCCCATGGCCACTCCTCTCATCAGGCCGAGCTCCGCCACGCTGCGCTCTCACTCGCTGAGTCGTAGTGGCTCCGCCCACCGCGTACCTCACAGCAACAGCTTGGGGACAATCCACTCCAACATAGTAAGATGCTCTTCTCACACGCACAAAGTTCATCAGTACATCAGTTGTCAGTCAGAGAAAAGTTTACTTGATTCAATTTCACTGCTCAATGTGGGCATCCTCTTCTCTTCTATTTAATCAAAGGCTGATTCACAAATGAAGAGTTCTTCATTACAGTCCCTTTTGCTTTTCTCCACCTGTTTCATATATTTTATTAAGCCCATGAAGAATCTCTTAAGCAGCTACTTCTATACTGTATAGGCCTACTGTAACCAACCACAACAATCTTCTATTATGTTGCCATCTGTTGCTTTCTGCCTGCCTCCTCCATTCCCCTTCCTTCTGTTCAGGTAACCCTTTTGACATACCGTGTTACTAAAGGACAAATAGAAGAATACTTTTAACCTTTAAATCGCTCTAAATGTTATGAAAAGGCCACTGAGTGCACTGGTTGTATGCTTGTGTCATGACACACATGAATAGGAAATGACAGGCGAATTGTCTTTTCCTTCTTTTTTTTCACCTTTTTATACACTTTAAACCTGTGATATATATACACACAGGGTTAAGAACTGAATGGAAAGGACACTTTTAGGATGTTATTATTATCAATAGCATATGGTTTAGGTCCTCAAATGGACCAAATCTTGATACAAGATGTTCAAAAATGTTTTCTTCCATACTGTATGTGTTGAATAGTACTTTGTTTGGTATGGATATAGATGTGATATGATACTACACGTTTACTCCATGTTTATGAAACTTTTCTATTTAGTCAATTTGTTCCTACACTTAACTTTGTGTGTGTGTGTGTGTGTGTGTGTGTGTGTGTGTGTGTGTGTGTGTGTGTAGGGTGATCCGCTGATAAACCTGAGAAGTAAAGAGCAGGAGGCCGAACTGGTGCATCAGTCTCTGGCAGCGCTCACTGCCATGAGAATCAGGTTCCCGGGCAAAACAGAGGAAGAGGCTGAGGCTGTGCTGGATGAGGTATGTGCTCTATTTCTGTTGTATCTGTCCAATTTAAAATGGGCATGGTTGTCATACTATTGAGATTTAGGGGCCAAAACAGAGTGAAATAATTTGGAAGGATGTTACCATAAAACCTGCAATGTAAGTTGCACCGGTATGTAAGACGCAGTCTGTTTTGGGGGGTTTCTAAGAGAGAAAAAAGGTTTAAACTGTCTTCATGCATGATGATTTCCACTGCATGAAGCAAAGTCTATGACATGCAAAGTACCATCTGTTTCGATTTGTGGAGTTTGCTCTCCTTCTAGCTAGTAGGGCTTGGAATCTTTGGGTGTCTTTCGATTCGATTTCGATTCGTGATTCGATTCAGAATCTCTTTTCGATACAAAACAATTCTGGATTCATGATTCAAAGTCTATTTATGAATTAGTTCATACTTCAGGATCTACTCCAGTCGTCTGTGAGACTGGCTGAATTTCTTGTTACTCCATTTGGCATTCTTCCGAGTGAAAGAGCTAGCCTTAGCACTTAGCAGGGGGTGATTGATTAACAAACTTTTATTTTTATTTTTCAAAGTTTTGACTCTTTTTAAATCTCAGAAGATAAGAATCTTGATTTTTACATAAATCTACTTGCTACAGTCTGGTAGTTGAACACTCATTCTGAGGAGAAAGTACAGCCCGTGAGTCTCTCTGCCCGTCCCCTTCAGTCACTTGTTGTCTTTAACTGAGAAGTCTTTTCAATCAAACCAGCTCTCATCAAGCTTTATTCACTGAACAGTATAACACCTGTTTCTTTAAATGCACCATTTTGACCTTGTGACAGAGAAAAGATGGGAATAAATGGAGACACTAGCCTGGTCCATGTCTATCCTTTTAATACACAATGAATGAGGGCGAATTTGTCAAATGTATCGGGTCTTGTGCAATGTGGGATGGTTACAACCGCCCTCGTGGTAATGGCGGCATCTTTGTCAGCATTTTAAACTGGTATATTGATCTCAGGGGTATACAGTACAGGAGGCAGCCAACGTTTTAGATGAAAAAATGGGTATTAAGGTGCGTCTTATGCACCTAAGTTTACAGTACACAAGAGCAAGACTGAAATAAATAAGGAAGAGAAAGTAGGAGTAAATATGGAGCACCAAAGGAACTGAGTGTATTCCCAGAGTCCCCTCAGTGGCCAGGTGCGGTCACTCTGCAGTCCAACTAAAAGAGACCGCCTCACCCCTCTCCTTTCTGGCTGGGCTCCCATTGTCTTTCAAACGACCCCAGTGACAACCTGTCGTTCAGTTTACAGCCCTGTGCTTTTCCCCACTGCTCCTTTGTATTAATAAGTGCCCCCTCTATTTCTTCTCAGAGCTACGTCCTTGCACTTGTACTTGTTTGTTTTGTTCAATTTCTGACAGAATTGCTTTAATGTAGTTTTGTGTAATATAGGGCTGTCTAAACAACATATCACTTAAAGCAACCAAAACTGATCAAACTTAAACATTGAAGTTATTTTTTTTAATACATGACATCTTAAAAGTCTTGAGTAGTTTATGAAAAATGTCAACATTAAGATTCAAAAAGTAAAATGGAGAGTGAATTTTGCCAGAGCAAAAGAACGAGAGACAGAAGCCCTTTCAGACTCAGTTCAGCCGCAACAACGACTACATTCATATCTACGATGTAGTATTGGCATCCCGGTCTGTGAATTCACAATGCATTCCTGCGTTGTGGAATCACGGCACAGCGGGAGCTCCAAATACACACACAGTCTGACACTCACGCACACACAGCGCTGCTCAGTTGCTAAACGGACAGCAGTCATAGAGAGTGTCTTCACCGGGGTGACGTATGGATGACAATCAAAACACCTCGTTCAATAAAAAAAGCTAATTTCACTTGGCTAAAAGAGAAGACTAGAATAGTAAATATAAGTCATCTTTCTGAGTGCAGTGCAGAAGTGCAGTGTAGATATGGGTGTTTCTGTAACGTGGCTACTTGACTTCAATAAGCAGATAATGTAGCTGTGTGTTTAAAACCTGTTTAAAACTCTGCAGAGCATCATCTCATCACAACAAGTAGATAGAAGGTTTGTCAAAGTCATTTACATTTGTAATCACGGCTTACTTTTATAGACCTTTGTTGGACACGAGATGAGATGAATTAATTAATTCAGATTTGCAAATAAATAAAAAAGTATGTTTCCACTTCATAGCACTGATGCTGCAGCTAGCACTGTCAGCTAAATGGTTAATCATCCCACTGTAGAGTATGCTGTTCTAATGTCCGCCATGAAAACAGTTTGGCAACTTCAGCAGTTTTCAGGGTGTTAGAGCAGCAAACAGAAACTCATTCCATGTCATGTGTCCCATTGCCTCCTTTTTAAAAAAAAATCACATTTCAAACAATATTAGGTTCATAAAAAAAAAGGTTTATTCTCAAGCAGGTGATGAATGAAAAATCTAGAGAGTCAAGAGTCAGCTCATGTCCACATACAAACTTGCCACCAACCACGAGAACTATTTAAATATGATGTCGTTATGTCTCAGTAAACAATAACAGGTCAAACTTCATTGTTCACCAATATTAAGTGCAACTATAACGTGTAGAATAAACATTTTGGAAACCTACAATTCTACAATTCACTTAGCAGATGCTTTTATCCAAAGCGACTTACATTAGAGAGTAAGTGCAACACCTGGTGGTTGTTGTTTAAGGTTAAGTCAGGGAAAACCACCCATTAATTAGTGTAAGCCCATAAAATGTCCTCACAAGAACAGCTAAAACAGTGAATGTTTCGGTGTCACCTGGGTGTGTCAGGGTTGTGAGAGACAATTACCACCACACCTGTACTGTTAATAAACACTAATGAGAGGGCCATGGCAACGCAGATGAACAACCGCACCTGCACTGTTCTCTCTGAGCCACCGGAGAGAAGCGTATTCAGTTTGCATTTGACAATTTATGTTGTCTACCATTTAAAGTTGATTTTTAATTGGGCTAATGAGGTGTTTGTATCCCATAAATTGCCTCCTTTATATTTCAATTAAAACCTGCTTTTTTTTCGTCACAGTCGAAAATATTGAAAGGTGAAAAAACATTGAGTCTGTTTTTGTTGCGATTTAATTGAAGGTAATTTGTGTGTGTATGAAACAAATGAAACAAATATGACAAATGAGCGCGCATCTTACCAGAAAAGGTTCACAAGGTTCTTGTTGAGGGAGAATAACAAACAAGCAAACAAGTAACTTTCTGGAAAGCGTACAAAAGTGTGCTCAGCATACCATAGCTCTGTATTTGTGAGTCCTTGTGGATTGTTTTTTTTTTGGTTTTTTTGTGCATACACATGTGCATGCGAGCAAACATAGAGTTTGCACTGCAGCTTCCCTTGGGGACTACTGTTTGCAGGGGATCTAGCATGCTACGTGAGAGGTTTATGTACCCCAGTGCGGAGATATAGACTAAATCCACAGCGCAACAATATCAATGCCTGTAGGTACACAATAATGTTGGCAACCAGGAACAAGTGTATGGGAATATCCAGCACAGCTTTTGAGCAGAACGACACATGCCCCAAGAATTTTATATACCTCTGCAAAACATGTTTGGTTTTTTTCTTCAAATATCACAACTCAATGTCTATTACGTGTCACATTTAAATTCCTCCTGTTACAGACAAACAGTTTGCTCTGTTCATGCCCTTAATATTTGACATGATGGCATTATGTATAATAAGGGCTGGGAATAAACTGAACTGTAACACTCTGCTTCCTTTTCTTACATGGCTGAAATGTGAATAAAAGCGGTTGTGTTCCAGTTTAAGTTTTTAAAAAAAGGGATGTTTAAAGACAATTTTTATGTTGCCAGATTTCATTTAGATACTAAAACTGAACGATTATTCTGTCCACACATTTAAGACAAAAAACTAGACAGTGTTTTTTCTGTTGTTCATTAACGTGCTGGATGTAAGTAACGTACAAGCACTGCTGCTGTCATGTTTAAAGTGTAAAAGTAAGGATGAGTGTGTGATGAGTGGAATGAGCTACAGACTTATTCGGTTTGTTCTTTTTTCTCTGAATCAAATGTTCCTCTTGCCCAGCATTGAAACATTCCTGTAGAGTATCATGATCTATACAGGAACATTTGACCAAGGCCAACCACCAACCGTCAAGTTTTTAAGATGTGTTTATTACACTTGCAGTAATGTTTTTAGCCCAATTTGTGTTTTAGAATTAAGTTTTGTCTTTTTAAACTTCTGCCCAGCACAGTGCCTGCTCTGACACCAGATAGAAACCCTGGGTTATGATAGACTATTGCTGGAAAACAGTTGATGTAAAAAAAAAAAAAAGAAAGGCATCTGAGTCTACCTGTATTATTATTATGTGTTACGTGTTATTCATATACCCATAATTTGATCGAGTTTTGCTTGTTTGTTATTATAGAATAGTTGTCAGTATAAAAACCTGTTTCATGTTTAACACTAACATTTCTTTTGCAGATTCTCGACAACTGGAAGTACCATAAATCAAAGGTGGCCTCATATTGGCTGGTGAAGCTTGACTCTACAAAACAACGAAAGGTGAGTCTTATACAGAAATCACAGTCGACAATTTCAGAGCCTATAAACATTTGGCCTGCTTCTCTGAGCTCCTTCTTATTCTGAGAAACATAAACATATATTACTAGTAGGGCTGTCAAATGATTACTTTTTAAAATTGGTATTTATTGCAGACAATTTTAACAGTTAATCACGATCAATTTATAATCACATGCTTTAAATTCCAGTATTTTGCATTTTAAAACAGATTTTGTTTTGCTTTTATTTTGTTTTTAGTACTGTCTTTAGATAAGGGTACTTTACTTCCTGTTTGGACACCAACCTGCTTTTGTTGTGAATGTATCTAAGTACCGGTAACTACAGGCAGATTGAAGAATACCACATTAACATAACTGAGGAAAAGGGAACTTGCTACAGATCGTTAAGTAAATGGAAAGGTGAAAAAGCGAAATGACTGTGCTGAAAGTAGTCATTCAAAAACACAGCTGTGTCGTTCTTTTAAATCACTGTGGGAGCAGGAAGAGACTGTGTGGCTTAACTATGGTGCTCGGAAAGCAAGGGTGAAAAATAACAAACGATTAATGAAAAAATGAATGAGCGAATTTCTGACCTTAATCACCTCACAATTTACACGTAATTTACACTGTATGTATGCTGATGTTAACATGTAAGTGTGTGTGTGTGTGTGTGTGTGTGTGTGTGTGTGTGTGTGTGTGTGTGTGTGTATATATATATATTTATATATATATACACACACACACACTTATATTTGTGCAATCTTCACAGTCTTCAGAAAGGTTCTTGCTGTCAGCCTGCATGCATGCCTATGTTCTCTGTCTGTCTGAAACACACGCTAATACTTTGGCCTTACAATCTACCAAAAGACTCGCTCCTGTGTCTGTGTGAGATGCAAAGGGTAGAATGAAAAAGCCCCAGTATTTGACAATCTGGTAGATACAGCAGTCTGCGGTGTCACTGATGTAAAAATGGCTTCTGGTGTGACTGAGAGCAGAGCGGCTACAGATAGCAGGTAGATGAAGTGTGGGCTTTAGCTGCATTCAAAATACATTTGGCACCTTCCTGCAGTGTGGAAAAAGGTGTGCTAGTCTTTTGTGCGTTAGCATGTGATACATGTGGAACATTCAAGTAAAGTTTCATTAACACTCACACTAAAAATCATTTTCAGATCCGTCTTGTTGTTAAAATAAAATGAACCAGAGTTTATCTTTATCAACGTGAGATCATGAAGAAGTGAAAAAAGTTTTGATACTTTATTTAAACTTTTGACAACTCTTGTCAGAAATAATCAATGTAAATTGTGAAAGTCTTGAAAATAGGCAACCCCTGTTTCTTTGACTCGGTATAAATTGCCTGCCTTCGTTATTGCTGCGACACGGTCTATACCATTACCCTGTATGGAATGCTTGTTAAAAGCGTTGACGAAGACAAAATGCTTCTTTCCTCTTCCTTCAAAAGCTTTTGAACAACTTTTAAAGTCCCCAAATCCAACATGAGTGAAAAAATGAAAAACAAGACAAGCATGGAGATCATTATGTCAGATAGTGAGAGGTAGACACAGCAAATAGGATGTAAACAAAACAGAAAAGGGGGACAGGACGTGAAATGGCATCCAGTAGGCGTGTCAGTAATGATGTGATCTCTCAGCCGCTGCTTTCTGCACAGCCGGGCTCTGCTGTGTTGTGAGCTGTGGCGACGCGAGCTGATGTTTTATTTGGAGTGGGGCAGCCTAATGAGCAGCAGGCAGAGGTCAGGAATGTAGCGCCCACCGCTCTGCCATCTGATTACCATACCAAAACATGTCTGTGTGTGTGTTTACTCATCTATCAGTTTGTCTGAGTGTGCATGCGTGGCTCGCCTCATATTGCTGTAGGGAAATCTAGCTTCTTCGCATCGCAAAACACACATGCACGCCCTACACATACACACACACACACACACACACATACACACACACACACACACACACACACACAGCCAGTCAGGCATGTCAGTAATGAGGAGCGAGGAATCAAAGTCAAAAGGGCCACAGCACTCCACTCTTAGCGGAGTGAAAAGGGAAAGAAAAAGAGAGGAAGGGAAAGGCAGTGAGATGGGGAGAGACGGGAAAAACAAAGAAGGGAAGATGGAGGGCTGGCGCAGGTGTCCTCAGACTGCCTAGGAACTTCTGACACCTTCTGTCCAAAACTGACGTCCCGTGCAGCAATTAGTCCTCTCCTGTGCTCTCCACTGTCTGCCCCAGCACTTTTTGTCCTGCCTCTACGACAGACCCCCTTCCCCAAGTGTAGGCTGTGGCATAGGCTGTGCTGAACCTGTACATGCTTTAACATAAATATTAAAATTATCATCGGTGGCTGGTGAGGGGGGGGATGCATTAGTCTCTGTGATTGCTAATTTTATAATCAGTTGATTTTATGTCTTGCAGAAAACATTTCCATTATATTCACATGCTTGATTCAAACCTTTGTTGCCCTCTGACCCTCTCTACACTCAGGTGTTGGACATTGTGCGTACCAATGTGCGCTCAGCGCTGCAGCGGATCTGGAGGGAGCCGGATGTAGAGAGCCTCCACCTTTATCGGCTCTTCAACCGCGTCTTCAACCGGCTGCTCTGGAGTCATGGACAGGGACTGTGGAACTGCTTCTCCAACACTGGGTATGTCAGTCTCAGCAGGGCTGTAAGCTGTCAGGATGAAGATGTAAAAGCTTGGGTAGTCTTGAAACCTTTTTGTTATTACGTTTTGTTTTTGCACATCCTAATTCAAGATATAATAAATTAATAACAGATATTTTTATAATGCGCTTTCTTACAAAGAAACACCTCCCCTTATGCTGTTCTGTCCATTTCAGTCATGCTATATTTCGCAAGAGGACCCCTGAGACCCCTGTTCTTTTTGTAAAGTGTCTTGAGATGACATTTGTTATGAATTGGCACTATACAAATACAAATTGATTGATTGATTCAACACAAAAAAGTGATCACACTGCAGGCCAGTTACTGCTCCATTCATTGCATAGTGTCAGCCTGTATGTCCACAGTTCATTCACCAATCAATCTCCCCGTGTCCTCCAGCTGAGCGTTCGTCAAAGCATCAGTCTCAGTGACAGCGGGGACAATTTACCGTTTCTTTTCAGTGTAACTGGCAAAGCAACAGCAGCTGAATGACAGAGAATGAGTGACAGACCAACCAGACCCCTCTGCACTTTCCTGAAAGCTCCCAGGGATGAAAGAAACATGTTACTCTGAGGCGGCAGAGTGCAAATTAAGGTCACAAATCTGAGCTGTTAATCAGAACTTGTTCACAGGTGAGAGGTAGAAAAGGAGAGGGGAAGGAAGGAAGCAGGAAGAAGGTGAATGAAGGTCTCTTAGTTCTTTTACTGTGGTCTTTTATCAGAATTTTCTGAAGTTTTGCTCTTTCAGTTTACTTTCTCTCTTTTTAACTTTTTGATGCAACAGAAAGTAGCTCCCTACAAGATGAGTCACTGCAGTTACAGCCCACTTGATCATGTCCTTATAAAACCCCCAAAACAGCTTTTCTAAAACACATTCCCTCGAAGTTACACAGACAACGCATCATTGAATGTACAAAGCTGGTTTCTACACAATTATTTATTTTTTACACTGAAGCATCCTCACACAGAGACATCTAGTTAAATATTAACAAACATACACACATACAACCCTGACAGACGGATAGAAGTAGATACTTTTCATCTCATCTATGGTAACATTGTGACCTCCTTGCATCTCCTCCTCTCCATTATTCTTACAGTTGTTAAGCCACCATCTTTCACTAGACACAGAGGGCTTAGAAGGTGTAACTCAACTCTCTGTTTCCCCCTTCCTTAACTTCCTTACCAGGCCTGATTGAGAAAGAGTAAGGAAAGGATTGAGTGATGGTGATGAAAGGGATGATAAGCAGAAGGAGAGAAGGGAAGGAATCTGGAAATGTAGAAAAAACAGTGGAGTGATTGAAAATCAGACTTTGTACAAAAATATTGAGTGGAAGGATTAACCTAACCTGGCCTCAGCTGCCCCCAGCATGCTGCCACCCCATGTACCTTTTGTCTGATCACAACCTGCCCTGGAAGATGCAGCTTGCCTGCTATCCTATCACACCTCCCGTACCCTGCAACAGGCCATGGCCCAAACACAGAAGAAAACCAAAAGGGGGCCCTGATGTCAACAGGCAACAGCGAATAAGTGCACCTCGAAAAACACATTTAAATCCATGTGCCCCCACCCGCTCCTCTCCATCTCTTGTTTGATATTTTATCCAAGGGACTTTACAACAATCAAACGGCCTCGCAGCTATTGTGGGCGATGAATTCAACAGGCTTTGAAACGACTTAGAGGAAAGAGAATAGAAACGCACACAGTTTTGAACCTCTCAGAGGAAACACCCCCCACTAACCAAGAAGTGAAAGAGGGTAGACATCAAACGTATCCCCCGGAGTTGTGTGTCTCAGTTGTCGAAGCTCTCTCACAGTCAGGGGTATGTCCGGGGCAGTAATCGGGGTTAACTGTATTTGGATTCGTTTCATCCTCCTCATTTTCCTGCATGTCTGTGTGTGAGAAACTGTGTGCAAAAAAGTGTATACACGCATGTAAATGTAAAGGCCAGACATGAAACAACATATTTCCCTATGTATGAATTTATGGAGGGCAAAGAGGTTGTGACTCAATTTGTGCACCTGCATCATGAATACACATGATATACATGTACTGTTTACTTCTGATAAATTCATGGTATGCTTATCTATAACTAACTGTCTATGTGTGTGCTTGCTTTCTGGTTTGCTCTCCAGTTCATCGTGGGAAACCATCTTCTGTAAGAGCAGCGAGGTGGTGACACCCCAGGAGCTGCAGTGTTGCCGCCGGCTGGTCCAGCTGTCTAGAGACTGCTTGTTGGTCGTCTACAAGTTTGTCTCGGAGTCCCGTGGCTCATTGACCGGTCTCAGCCCCGAATGGGATGACACCAGGTGAGAAGGACACTAAACCTTTTTGATGATTCCTCAGGGATAATTAAATTTGCTTCTAGCATTGCTGCTGTAAGAGATACTTCACAATACAGAGGGGTGGCTGGGTGGGATTCAAGGATACAACAATACAAGATCCAAGGTTAACAATGTACTCAGTTTCCTCTTGCAAGATGTTTGCTTGCCAAATGTAGTTGTTGAAAAGAATTCCAGCAGATTTTCTGCAGTAAACATCAGAAAGCATCTTCAGAGCTACAACTACATAAATACTGCAGTTAATTGTCCTAGTTAAATGATTTAATAAGTAAAAGGCATGTATAGTCATGACATCAGTATAACAGTCTTAAAAACTGCACAATGAAAACTACTTCTCTGATAAATGAAACTGCTAAGCTTACTGAAATAAAATCAACCGGAGAAATAGAAAAGAATAAATTTAGGATGTTTCTCCGATTGATAATAAACCCAACTGAGAGCAGGTTAAAGCTGAGTTTCTTAAAGTTGTATGAACTACAGAGATGCCTTGTAATAAACTCTGTTGAATCATCTGCCTTTAGAAAAAGGGACAACAAAATGAGGTTACAAAAAAACCACATAGTAAACACACTTTGACATACAGACAAGACAACTTTGATCTGAAAATGTAAACAGCTCTCATCATTAAACCTCTCAGGAGCATTTGCTCTCTTTTCCATTGAGCCTTAGAGCCATCATCTTCATCACCTAACCCAGATAAAACAAACAAACAAAAAAAAGTCTGCTTTATGCTATTTTTATAAGGTTGAGCCCCGCAGGAGACAGCAGCTCAGGTTTGGAGTGAGTGAACTTTTAAAGCACATATGCTTTTGGGCTGGCAGAGAGGGAGCAGGGAGAGGGGGGAGAAGGAGTGCGCTGTTAACAGGAAATAATGGCCCACAGATTAGCGCTCAGGTTAGCCTGGGGCCCCCCGAGGCCTTCTTAATTCAATTAGAGCCCAGATGAGTCTGTGCAGCAAATGACCTTATGAGAGAGAGCGCTCTGTTTTTCCCGGAGCCTCGCTTTTCATGATTCATAACTCTTGCGCATATTTTAACAGGCTATCACTTTGCACCTACATTATTAAAACCTTATCTGTTTGAATAAAAGTATGTGGGGCTTGTGTACAGAAAGCAGGGCGACTTTTGTTTCATCTAATCCGACAGTGTTGCTATTGATTGTTTTAGCCTGACCATTTTTGTTTGGGGATGAATTGGAGAATACAATTTAAAAAGTGGGCTATTCAAGGGTTTAAAAGTTTACTGTGATTGGATTCAATACACAAGCATGCACAAAATGATCCATGTTTTTTCAGTGGGTATCCTTAAGAGTCCATTTAAGCATGCATTGGTCTGTCTCTCCTGATTTCTCCTGTCTATATATGTCTGTGTAAAAAAAGCTTACCATTTGCTGCGGGACCAGCCTCTACCCATGGCTCAACCCCTGCTGCTGCTGTTGCTGCTGCTTCTTCTTCCTCCTCTTCCTCCGTCTCTTCGCCCCTCGACGCAGGTCTCTGCTTGGTTTAGTTCCGCTAAACCCCCCCCCCCCCCTCCCCTCCTACCATCTTCCAGCACTGTCCCCGCTTTCTGCTGCTCTCACCACCTCACAGCTCTAACGAAGGCTTGGTCCCACCTGCACAATGATGGTTGCAACCAACAGTCTAACATGGTCTCCTCTCCTTTCCCTCAACACTATCCTTAGAAGTGATGTGTGGATTAACTTTTACCCCACGAAAAATGGGATATGTCTAAAACGATCTGATTATTTGTAGCCAAAAACATTTTAAGATGTATTTCAATTAAGGAGATAGGAGGAGGCATATTGAGACTGTTAGAGCACTGTTTGTCAACAAGGCAACCATTTGTCAGCTTGCTCCAAACCACCAGCCAATCACTCTGCTGCCACATCCTAAACTCTACCTCCACTCAATGCTTTTATCAAGGAACATCTTACCCCAAGTGCATTTTCAGTACAAGTGGCCTCAGTGGGACCTGAGCTCCTCACCTGCACCGCATCAGCGCCATGATCAACCTAAGCACTGCTCTCTTCTTGTCTCAAGAAGACAGACAATGGCTCGCTTGCATCATGTGGTTTGCAGTTTCTCAACACAAACAGTTCACATCTCTCCATCAGGCATGCAGGGAACAGTCACTACCCGCCTCCATTTCAGATAGCTGAGAAGCAATTAGGATTATTTTCCTCACTGATATACATGAGAGGGTAAACTGTGCGTGTACGTGCGTGTGCATGCACATGTAATGTGACTGTTTAGTAGCAATCATCAATCTCTAGTCAGTGTTTAAGTACAAACTATTCCTCTCAAACTGTGTCCACACTCAACTCAGAGTCAATCAAGTGAATGGGTTTATATTTTTTAAACTGTTTTCAAAACAATACCAACAAAATCCACTGTCACGAAAGGGGAATGATGTACTTAAAAGACTCACCTTGGATGACACCCTATTTACTTGACCAACTTTGACTGCTTAAGCCACACACAGCATTTTAATATTTTTTGCATGGAAAATGGATTGTGGTTTTATTCCCCCAACTCTCCAATTGTAATCACAGTGGTATAAACATGAGATGTAATAACTGTGACCAATGACTCTCATAGTACATGTGGGCATGCCAGGGAATTTTCCGCCAGGCTTGGAAAAAAACATGAACCTATGCTGAAATGCAGACTTGGACACAAATTTCAAAATCACAACTTTAAACTTAAATCAATAAAAGACTAAAAACTATTGAAAATAATGGGTTCCAGTCAGAATTGCTACTATTTCTATACGTATATTGCATTTTCAAAAGACTGAAGTGGATATGTGTCAGAGAATTACCTTGTGTTTGAGACATTTCTAAATGAATATAAATCTTTCCAGTTCATTTTATTATCAGACACAAAGAAACACTAGTCTGGAAGCCCTGTGTCGGACTCCCTGAAATCAAAGGTCACACATTCTGGCTAATTTGTCTCTTTGAATCAAACACTTGCACACAGTCTGTTGTGCATGTACACAGACATCCAGTTGTTGAGCTTGTCGGTGGTGGTCTTTAGTTGTATACATTGTTGACCACAACTTCCCACTCTCGTTCAAGCATCCTCCCTCCATGGAGTGCCTTGATCAGGTGTGTCAACAGACTCATGGGCCTTAGAAAAGTCCTTCAGTCTGTGTGGGCAGATGAGAGGAAGTAGCCAAATAGCTCCACTAATAACTTTCTTGTTAAGCCTGGAATTACTGTCATTACCCAAAGACATTTTCCCCATGATGACAAAAGTTCCAGATTCTATTAACTTTGATCTGTTGGAAAAGTGTGGCAGTAACTAGGGTTAATTGGGGTGTTGAGCTGAATGTGGGCTGCAGATAACCTTCAAGCCTCTTGTACCTCTTGGTTCAGATTGCGTCAGCTATCAAGGCAGCCTCCCCTTCTATCCTTCGTCATGGCATTTCGTCTTGCCTGGTGTCCTCTTAATTCGCCGTGGCACTCCTCTAGATGGAGTAGCGCGGAAAGCATGTCAGTAGTCAACCGTAGTAGATAGTAGCCTTGCATGTGAGGAACAGAGAAAGAGCGTGTCTTTCTGTCTCCCTGTCAACTGATGTATTGAAGCAAAGCACAAGTGCATGAAACAAGCCTCCCCCTGGCTTTCAAGCATGCGCGCTGTTGCCAAGACCGTCTTCATGATCAAAAGGAGGACGAACCTGGAAGATGCTGAATGAGGGGCCAATTAAACATAGCCTGCAGAGACAGCAGCCCATTGGACTTGAGAACCCCCACCCCATCCCTCGCCACCACCACCACTCTGATTCTTTCAATGAGCAGAATATACTCAGAGGATCTCTTAAGAACACAAACTCGCCCCCCAATGGATGTCCAATATATGATTTTTTCCCCCCTTTTTTCATTTCTATGCCTGTCATGGGCGGTTCTAGGCAGGGGCCAACAGGGGCCAGTGCCCCTGTAACACTGAGCTTGGCCCCCCCCTGTGGCCCCCCCTCCAAAAGGAAGAGCCCCCCTCATAACACATACACAGTTTTTGACTCAACACCTGGACTCACAATCTAGTATTACATAACTGTTACTGATACAAATATAAATCATGGTATTTAATGATGTGCACTGTTATTTGGCATAATATATATTTTTTAAAGCGATCATCTTTGTCTGTTTTTCACCTGGGTTTAATGTTGCCCCTCTGACAAAACAACTGGCCCCAGTTTGGTCCCCCTCAGTTAAAGTGGTCTAGAACCGCCACTGATGCCTGTGTTTGGAGATTATCAGCAAAAAAAACTTATGGAAATGGAAGGGTGAAAGGAGAAATCACACCTCAAATCCATGAACAGAATCCCGATGAACACATCTGAGGACGGTGGAATAAGGTACCTAGCAGAAGGAAGAGAAACACAAGAAAAGTAGAAGACTTAAATCCAAAGGTGACACAAAATAATTCTATGAAGTCGCTAATTGTCAAATCGAAGCGTAAACTTGAAGCTACCTAATTGAAGCAAATGTGAAAGGCTTGAAGCAAAGCAGGTCCTGTCCCTCTGTTCTCTGGGGATTCGGTGCAAGAGTTTAAAAAGAAAAACTGGACTGAGCCTTTGTTCAACCAGTCCAGTCAAAGCCAATGAAGATGTGCTGGAGGGATACCTACGGCCCACTTGAAGCAGTTTCAAGGACACTCCTGTTGGACTAAATGAAGTTAATTTGAATCCCTCCTAACTCTCCTGGGTCTGTGTTAAAGCGGGTGCCCTCAGCGACATGTGCTTCCCCCCCCCCCCTTTTTCCGGGCGACTTTAGAAGCAGCTCCTTGGCTAATTTGTCCAAGAGCTTTTGCACAAGGAGAGAGAGCTGTCAGAGAAAAAAGTATGCTATCTCTGCACCAGCTTAAAAGGAGATATTACTTTTTTCACTGTTATTCGCGGCCCCAGTGGCTCCCTTTTGATTAGATTGTCACATCTTAAACACTTCTACCGGGACTATTTCTTTTGACCATTGTACTTGTTCAACTAAACGAGTATTAGATGTCTCTTTTGTTATCTAAAGATCCTTGCTGCGGACGTGGAAATAAGGTCACAGTTTATAATATCACAGTGCAATGGTGCAGGGAAAAGCGCAGCAATGTAAGTCATTCTTCCAACTGATCAGTTTGGAAGAATACAAACTCCCCCCCTCTGTCCTGTGTCCTCTGAACTACCCTGACATTTGCATAACCTTCAGTTAACCTTGTCCAGGATTTGATCATCTCATCTGACATTAATCTGACAACCATATCTGACTCATTTCCAGTAACAAACGAAGATGGGAGCAGGGTTCAGCCCCTCCTGACACTTATCTCAACCTGACGCTGGTCTCATTCTCAGGTACTGGAACGCTGTTAGCAGGAGCTGCCTCACTGCTCTGTCTCGGTGGAAGGTGTCATAGAAAAGTCTTAGACAGGTACTGACGTCTGTGCCGCGGAATGATAGGTGAGGAATTCCTGTTCATGATACCAAAAATGTAAGGGTCAAAGTTGACAAACGTAGTTGTCCTTCAAATAAAAAAAAGAGTTGCTTTTTCTCGGTGTAATACCCTTTAATTAATTCTCTAAAAGAAGATCCATAAATACTTCATATAATGTAATGAAACATGACTGTAATTGTTAACATTTATATTCAACATTGTGTTTTACATATGGGACATTTCATAAAAAAATTGAGCTGCAACAATTATTTCAATGGGTGAGATAAGTGAAAGAAGAAATTCCATACTACTTTGACACTTGTGCATTACGTAAGTTGTTATTTTAAGAAAAATACCCAAAATGGGCCATTTCAAGCTTCTCCAGCTGACAATAAAATTATTCCTGAGTCATATACGAATTTGGGTTTTGGACTGCTGGTCAAAGAAAGGAAACCTTCTCACCTGGCGTCAAAGGTTTAACCGCTAATGTCAATCATGAACTGTTAGAATTTCATTCATAGAGTGGTTTGCTGATTATTTTAGTGTGAAAATTGCACTTGATGACTTGATGCTGGTTATAATCATTGGTTGCAGTCCTACACAAAATACTCCAGATCAAATTATATCAACACCTTTGTCTTTCTTTTTTTGCTGTCAAGCAGAGGCTGATGTCATTATGTCTTGAATCACAAGGCCTTTATTAAAGTTGAAATGTGCAAATGGAGCTGGTCATAAATGGTAAAATCAATAGATGAAAGTTGGCAGTATGTGGTCTCAGTGCTGAGCACTAATGCGCCCTAACCTCTAAATTGTGACCTTTGCATATCTAATCCTCTCATTATGTTCATCCTCTCCCATAATCCCTCCGTCCCTCGCTCTTGTCCGTCTGTCCAGGTATCTGCTGCCAGTGACCTCCCAGTTCATCGTGAAGTGGCCTTCGTCCAGCTTTGGCCGCATCTCCTCGGCCGTGCCACGCTCGCGCAGCCTTTTCGCTGCCAGGATGGGCCACTTCTGAGGTCACCGTAGCAACCCTGGCTTCGGACACCTCGCCTTTTGACCTCAACCTTCCTCCCCTGACTCTCACCAAGCCAAACTCAGATATCAGCATGTCCAGTATGGATCTGTATTCGGGGCAGCTCTGGACACCGGATGGAACCTCAACCTCGGCCAACCCCCCCCCTGAAAGACCAACACAGCAACGCCTGGTGGATTTAGGACTGCCAAAGGGCTCTGTTCAGTTTAGATTAGTTTGGACCTTCCTAGACCAGCAGACCACCGGTACCCTCGATCCCCACCTAAACCCCAATAACAGCAGACAATGGGTCTGTTCCTTCTTTCTCCTTGTAATTGCTGTAATATACCTACTTACTGTACAGTTACAAGTCAAGGTACTGTAAATGGAAAAAAATAACTAAGCAATGCAAGGATTATTTATTTATGTACTAACTTATTTTTTAAGGTATTCCATGAATGCTGTGAATGCTGATGCAGATGCAGAAATGGAATGATGTAAAAAAAAAAAAAAAAAAGAAAGCAATCCCTTGTTTGAGAAAGTGGATGTAAAAAAACCCAATACAAAAAGCTTATTTTTGCTGGCTTAAATTTTATTTCTGAATGTTATTTATTTCATAACTTATATCAGAGGCTTTATGTTTCTAAAGGTTTTAACAGTCACTTTATGTTCTAGTCTTTCTTAGGTCAAATACAGTGAAGGGATGGTGCCCAGAAAGCTTAAAACGTTTAACTTTTGAATGCTGATGCTTCATATTTTTCTGTTATTAGGTGCAGCGTAATTAAGCGAGATATTGATTAGAATGTCGGTGTGGTAAAACCAAGCCTCTTTGCCTCTTGGAGAACGAGCTGAATTTTATGCCACAGTGCAAAAGGATAAACTTCAGTCTCAGAGAGCACCCAGCTTCTAATACTCACTTTGTCTTACAAAGAGGAAGTGGGTGCACATGGCAGTAGTGATTGCATGCTTAGACTTTAGACCCTCACCAGACTCTAGTGGTAAGACAGAGGAGCCGCATTTGGAATATACTTGAAGTTTTATGTTGTCATTAGTTATCATGTATTGTAATTGCTTCACTCAGAGGAAGAGACTTCCCCTTGCAGATTGGCTGCTCGCGTACGGATGTGTAAAGACTGAAAGGGATGTGTTGCTTCACTTCCAGATTGTGCAGCACGTTGAATGACTCGGGTCTTCAGCCCCTTTGTGCCGCACTGTAAAAGTGACAATTTTGCCTCGAAAGCTGCAGCCTTTTCCCCACCGCATTGCAGGTACAAAGTGCCAGAGATATGATGGATGTGCCAACAATGAGCACATCTACTTAGCCTGTTTAGTAGGACCTCGGTTAAACACAGTCTTAAATGTCAATAGGGAGAAACACAGTGTTATATGTTTGGTAGTATACTTGGCTTCATGTTCATGTACATGATACTAGATTGTTAAAGATGATAGTTTATGCCAAATACAGTTGAGCTTGCATTTTATAGCAACAAAATTCTGCTCAGCTCTATTGCCCCGATACACTGACAGCTTATCACAATGCCAAATATTTTAATTTTGCCTGATTTTGTTTGTTATTTAAGAGTTGTTTCTTTTTCATTGGAGGCATAAGATTTATAATTTTACAGCAATAAAATGTTTAAACAAACACTTTCTCCTCTCTTGCATTTGTTTTCTGAAGGGGATTATCTGTGGTTTCAGCCCTTTTTTTTTTTAAACTAAAGACAGTTTTCAAAGTGCTTCATATTGACTGTCTGAACACTCACGGAGGCCTTAAGCAATGTTAAAATAGTTTGAGAAGCAGAAGGCAGACAATGAGCTAATGATGTTAAATAACAAGTTAAAGGAAGAATGTTAAAGGCAGAAATCCAGTATATCCTCCTTAAATATCTCTCTGAGTCATGACTGTCTACAATGAGTGTGACGTGTGAGTCCCGTTGTCTGTGATGTTGTCTGAGCTGTGTTTACATTGTGTTTACATGGACGGGACGACCGGCCGTCCAGCTGATCCACTTGAGTATAAAAGAAGAATAACATACTGTACTCACTGCTTATTTAAATAAGAAAGTGTTTTTAGATCATTGTCATTCTATTTAAATGTACATGCAATGTGACGCTACGAGCAAAATAAAGTGCGCTACCATTAGCCTGCTAATACAACAATTCCAATTTGATAACTACTTTGTGCAAAAGCGAGGGGAGAGGGGTCAGATGTGTGTCGCTGTAGGAGAGCAGCGTATTCAGTGTGGCAGAGTCGTTGCCAAAATTGGTTTGTTTTGGTTTCATGCTCAAGGGCAACATCTACTGGATAAATAAGTCACACATTCTTCCTTTAAAGAGGACAAAACAAAAGACAGCATTTTGGGGTAAGCTTTCAACTACTTAAAATGAAAAGAATATTAACACACTTAAGTATATTAGTATGTTGTATGCTAATGATGAGGGGAAAAATACAGCACAGACTTGATTCAAGTTCGGGGTCAAAAACTAATCAACTATAAATATTATTTTGCTGTATTATCGTGCAGTATTATTGTTTACGTGACTCCTTTGAGCCAATTCTGCCATTATTGCCTTGACAGTAAAATTGCAGATGGATGCATTACAATGAATTGCCTGAGAAAGAGTCAAAAGAATTTGCGCTGTAGAAAACATCAAGAAGAACTAATAATGCAGACAAAATGTAGTAAGTGCTTTCAAACACTAATGGGGTTTCAAACTTCTGATCCAGCTGATATCCATTACAGGAGCAGCTCTCAGGCTATGTGGGTCACATTCTAAGTTATATCACTTTTCACACAGAAGTCCCCATGGACAGGTGACACTCCTGAACTGCCACTCCCCTTAGAAAGGAGAGTGTGTTCCAAGCAGCCCATTTATGTTCCGTCTTGACCTGCATGCCGCCCTACATGACTGTGTGTGTGCATGTGTGTGTGTGCTTGAGAAGAACAGACAGGTTTTATTTAGAACTGCATCAGCAACATGGCTTTCTGGTTTTTGTGACCTTTCCACCCCTCTTTCTTCCCGCCATCCCTCTTTCCCTCCCTGTTTCTGTCAGCAGAAGAGGTGCGGGGCTTGACCTTGAAGCTCTACGGCCTCTGCCTTGGTCTGCTTCAGACCAGAGGCTGACAGTCTGGCGCTGCGACCCTAACGTGCTGTCCAAAAAATATTTCCCCCTTCAACAGGGCTGCACTGTTCTGTCCTGACCTTTCCAGTCATCGTTCTCCTTCCTCAGCCCCATCTCAACAACGGGTCCATCCCTCTCTCCCCTACCTGCACAGGGTTCAGGCAGCTCTGCAGCCAGCGTCCAGCCTTTTTTTTTTTTTAATCAAACACCCAGATGACCCAGTTTCAGGGCCTTAAGCCGACCTCCCCGGCTTGAAAAGTAAAAAAAAAAAAGCAAGTGGGAGCTGTGTGAGAGGTGGATGGTTCAGATGAGATAAGGAAGCAGACACACACAGACACACACACACACACACACACACTCAGGCTTTCACATAAAAACAGATGGCCAAGCTTAAAAAATATGCTATTTTTTGCTCTTAATCCACTATTTCAAATGACATGGAGGGAAAAGAGCAATGTGATTTGCTCTGTAATTATGAGTGAGGTGTCCAGAGGCACACATGCCCTCCTTTTTCTTTCTAGTGAAGCTTGAAAGTGGAGCCTGTAGTGGATTGTGTGCTTTCAAATGACAAAAGTGACCTTTTTTATCAGACAAATACTGCCTGTGTGTACAGTGTGTGTATGCGTTTGTGAGGATTACATATCTCTCTTTTCCTCTGTTTGCAGCATGTTATGTACTGTATGTGTGTGTATGTGTGTATAGTATGTACACATGTTTACTGCTGTGTTTTATTAGTTTTCCAGGCCTCACACCTGCCTCAGTTTCCTGGCATTTTTGTGTGTTTAATGTGTATTCGCAAAGGGACACATTCAATGACACCCGCTGCAATATATTATCCGCAGAGCCTCGTTTACAGCATCTTTGCTCTCAGCAGGGGTCCTGTCTGTAAGTGACACATAAACCAACAGATAAACAGGCGGACATACACAGAGCCTGGATGGTCTTCACTCACTGTGTCCATGTGCCTCGGCTTATTTATGCTATGCACACTTCTGTTTCTCTGCAACACATTTGCAATTTTTTTGCATTATATATTTTAGGCAGGATGTAAAAATGTTTAAATGTAATCTTTGGTCCTTGTTATTTGAGTATCTACAGGAGGGGGTTATATATCTAAAAAGAACTCATGCTAAAGTAATTATTTTGTTGACGCTGAATTTTGCAGGAGCCAACACGATGGTGCTACTTTTCAGTGACCCAGGTGTAGCTCACATTAACTCAGCAGACCAAGGAGGAGACACTCCATACGAACCGCCAGCTTGATTTAAAACACCGCCTGCTCCATGATGTGTAAGCAGGGCTATAGACTGATAGACAGATATGTTGTCAGTGACGTTCTTCATGTTGAGTCATGTTGTTGTTTTAACTGTTGAGCCTGTTGCCTTCAGAGATCTAATTGGTAAAATATCGACTAAAAGAAATGACTACAAATGAAGTGTTATTTGATATGTGAGTTGTCAAAACTAAATTCTGCCACAGCAACACTAAATCATTTCAACATTAACGTGAGGATTAAAGCAAAATGAATGCTTGAGTTACTAGTTTATTTAACTCTGTTAGTAACTCAGTTACTTTTTGATCGTAGTAACTAATAACAGTAACTAGTTACTACTTTTCAGTAACGTGCCCAACACTGATATACATGAGCTTATTTATACTGTCTTTGAAGTTTCAATATAAAGTATTTTGTGTAAAGCCAGACACACACACAAACACACACGCACACACACACACACACACACACACACACACATACGCACTACAGGATGTAGAGCCAGTTCAAGGTGAATTGCTTGAGTTGATGCAGAGATCTCTGGGTTTAGTCTTTCTTCAACAAGCAGAAAAGGTTAAATTAATCAATACACTCACAGGAAATGATGCATCCTGGGTGATGAAAAAGAAGAATCTTCTATCATATTGTTTCATGGCCAAACACATTCAAACTCTCTCTCGCTCTAAACCCTCGATTCGCCCTGTTTGAATTTTAATTGTGAGTGTGTTGTTTTATTGAGCTTGAGTGTGAGTCCTCCAATGTTTCTTTTTTATCCACCATCAGCTCTCTTTTTGCTAAGCTTGCATGCTTTTACATATTAACACACCATTGAGCTGTGCAGTGACTGCAGCACGGTCACATGATGTCTCATAGTGGGCAGTGTGCGACTTGTTCGTCTTACCTGCCAGATTTATACACACACTCTCCATACATGACTTCAAACCACTGACCAACCTCTGAACCAATTCTCTTAACCTGTATGGACATGTGGACCCTGACCAGGTGGACTTCTCCGCAGAGCCACTGAATCCGACTGCACTGCACCACTTCCAAATGTTAACCTTGGTTTTCTCGCTCAAGGAGTCTACTGTACTTTGTTCCAGCCACAGGGGGTTATAGATGAGCACACTTCTGCATATGGCCATCATTCACAGCCTCAGGCTCCCCCTGAGTGTGTGTCTTGAGCGTGTGTAACAAATGGAGTCGAGCAGTGAAGGTATTAATGTGAGGGAACGAGCCCTGTGGTGGAAGTGCAGCAGGAAGTCACTTTCTCTCCCATCTGGCCCTCTAACAAGATGAAGCGGAGCAGGCAGGTGTGAGCAGTGGTCTGCTCCTCTGCCGGCTGGATTAGCACATCTGATGGGAGAGAAGAGACGCGGACGATTCTCGGCGTGGGCTGTCATTCTCTCTCCTCTCCTTCTCCCACACACCCGCGTCTCTCCATCCTCCTCTTCCTCACCTCCTCTGTGATCACTGCTCTCTGCCCCTCACTCTGCAGCGAGTGTGAGAGGAGAGCCTCAAAATGAGAATAAATGAGGTGTGGGGAATGCGTTTGGGCAGTGTGCCTGTCTGTGTCTGTGTCTGTGTGTGTGTGTGTGTGTGTGTGTGTGTGTGCGTGTGTGTGTGTGTGTGTGTGTGTGTGTGTGTGTGTGTGTGTGTGTGTGAATCCATGTACCTGCCTTCTATCGTGTTCACATCTCTTCCTCGGCTGTGGAGCCAAAAGACTGTCCGGGGACTCTTCATCCACTTGCTGCTGAGCGCCCCAGGGGATGGATTGAGCCTTGCAGGCTGGGATTTTATCAATACAGCCCCTCCAGGCAGCCTGGGAGACTCTGCCTATTAGTCTGCAGCTGAGCATCGAGGTGAGGGGCAACAGCTGGTTTGACTGGAAGCTCTGCCAACCAGTCTTGCGTTTTTGCCTCATGGATCCACCTAAATCTCTTTTTGTATTGTCTTGGTTTCCTTCTTCTCCAACCTCTAATTTACAGTCCATCCCATAGCCTTGCGCCTTCCACTAACAGATCTCTTTCCAATCCGCGCACCATTATTCTGCTCTTTTCATGTCCATTCCCCTGCCTTTGACGGTGCCACAGTGCGCCTACAATAGCGGCATGCTTCCCACTCCTGTAATTTAACATGCCCTGATCTTTTCAAGAGCTTTGTTTCATAGGGAAAGCTTTTTAGCCGAGTCTCACGTCCGTGTCACTCCTCTGTACTCTAAATCTCTATCTGCACTTTGTTTCACAGT